CGTTATCAATAACGCCCTGCAAACTTCTCGTTCAAAGCAGTCTTTCCATCACCGCTCTGGTTCTCTGGGGGAAGCCACGTAGCATATTTGTCATCATCCATACTTAAAATGAACAAATAAGTGAAGATATGAACCATACTGGTAAAAGCTAAACTCACCCATCCCCATAATCACCACCAGGAGTCACCGTGGTAGGTCGATTTGGTCGAACTCTTACACGTCGTTTCTTTTTTGGACCTCCTCCTTCCTCGTCCTCATCTGCATCGGTGGATACGGATCTTCTTGGCACATTTGTGCCCTTGTCATCATCTCCATAAACGATGTCGTGGACAATTTGTTGCTTAGTCTTCGCCGGTTCTGGATTTTCGGGTTTTTTGAGCCTCATCGAAACTGGATTCGGAGCAGCAGTTGCAGGCTTCTCCTCCGTAGTTGAATCCGCTACAGGTTGTTCAGGTTCTTTCTTCTCTTCCTCCTTCTCTGCGGAGGAGGATGGAGCTTGTTCCGTAGTTTCAGCACTGGAAACCGAAGAACTGGGTTTCTCATCCGAAGCAGACGCCTGAAGGTCAAAGACATTTTAACCACCAATTACCAGAAACAGGTGCCATACCTCTTCCTCATCCTCCATTTCCGGTTTGAATCTCTCCATATGCGCAGGGATTCCTGCTGGCCCTTTCACTTCCTTCTCTTTCTCTTCCTTTTCTGCAGCCTTCTCATCGGCAGCTCTCTTCTTCCCAATCATCATCATTTTGCGCAAAAAGGCCTGTTTATCAGCTCCTAGATAATATTGCGAACATACTAAGGGGTAAAAATTATAAACCCTTGAACTTACCAGACGTATTTGCTCCACCTACTTTGAGCTCTGGCAAAGCTACAGGTTTTGCTATCTTCACAAGCTTCTCAAGTCGCTGAGCATCATGTGTGAGACCGACAAGCTTTTGTCGGAGCATTGAGATCTCAGTTTTTGACTAAAACTGGCGTTAATTTGCTCATTGTAAATTCTAAAATCTTGTAATTCATTCACCTTCAAATCCGCCCCTTGATTCAAAGTCCTGCAGTAGTCGTCCAACGAGTCTCCCGTGCTTTGCGTTGTTTTCGCCTGAAAAAATGAAAATGAATACCTCATAAATAAGTGCAAGTATGACTT